CTGCCCAAGAGTGAGGGGGTGGGGCTGCCATGCTCAAAAGGGAGAGGAAAGGGGCCTGCCAGGCCAAGGGGGTGAGGTCACCATTCAGGACCTAGGGGACTAGAAATACCCAGTGAGGAGATCTGTACAGATGCCAAGTTGACAAGGGGTGGAATTGTGGTAGTTATGTTTGTATGTCAGCTTGGCTGGGCCTGGTTGAGTGGCTGGGCAGTGGGTGGTAGTTATTCCGCATGATGAGACTGGCAATCAGCTCCATGGTGGAATCTACTGGGAGCAGCTGAGTAGCTGCCTTTGGAAATGTGGTCTCCTTCCTGTATTTAAGGAGAAGCCTTGGGAATGGTCTCTAGCCTATGGCATGTTGGACCCTGCATGTAGCCATGTCATTGCTCAGCAGCCTGCTATGCTCTACCGACCTTGTTAATGGCCTGTCGTGTGCTTTGGTAACATTGGGACTGTGCCTTTTTACTTGGCAACCTTGGGGCTTCACAGCCTCAGCAGCCAGCAGCTGTCTGAGTGAAGAAATGCCTCTAGCTCCAGTGGACTGGGAGCAGGAGGCAGAGCTGGACCCCAAGGCTGAGGGGCTTTCACCCAGCCCCTAGAGCCTGGAACTTTGAACTTGGACTTAAAGCCTCCACATGGTAAGAATAAACTCCTGTTTGTTGAGACCATCCCATTTGTGGTATATTCCTGTCAGAGTGGCACTAAGTAACCAGAACAATACCTTAGCTCCATTTGTATCTCTAATAGCATCAAAAATCTGGTAAGTTGAATAAAACTTGGACCTTCAAGGTTTACTAAAATATCTTCACTAAATATCTATTCCTCCACTTCTTAGTGACCAGATAGAAGGAAACTGCCAAATGAAAGTTCTTACTATTTTGACTAGATTTGAGTAACTTCTCCATTAGTGTCATCACATTCGATTTTACCACTCCGTAATTATTAATTTGGAAGCTCTGGTGGTGTAGTGCCTAAGACATTTGACTGCCAACCAGAAGGCTGGTAGTTCAAACCCACCAGCTACTCCTTGGAAGGAAGGTTGGGCAATCTACTTCCATAGTGATACCACCTCAGAAACCCAAGGAGGGGTCGCTATAAAATATTTGTAAATTGTGAATCATTTTTTTCAGTCTTTTAGACATGCATTTTTAATAACAAGATATCTCCTATGCTTCCTAAACATCTTTGGTAATGAAGGCCAAGCAAAAACATATAAGATGCGAAAGCAAAACAGTAGCAACAAAATAGAGCTTTTTGCTCCTGGATAAGCACCATGGCACAGGCATAAGGGTGCTGAGATCGGTGGAAGTCAATGAATGCAGTCCTATTTTAAAGAATGCGTCTGAAGGAGTTGGTCCCTGAGCTGAGGACCACAGGCTCTCAGATGGCTGGACACTGCTAAGGCTAATCAAAGCACCTGAGGTCAGAATATCATCCCCTACCCCATTAATACAGGAGAAGATCACATCCTTCACACACACACATAATGAACTTGTGGACAGCTAAAAGCAGAAAGTTAAAAACCAATGAACCACTTGAATAAACATTTCACCAAAGAGGACATTCAAATGGCCACCAAACACATGAAAAGATGCTCCATGTCATTAGCCATCAGAGAGATGAAAATCAAAAGGCCAATAAGATACCACTTCACTCCTATTAGGATGGCAAAGATATATTTTTTTAAAAAAGCCAATGAACCTTGAAAACATTATGCTAAGCGAAGTAAGTCAATGACAAAAGGATAAATACTGTATAATCTCATTTATTTGAAATACCTTGAATTGATAAATGTATATTAATCAGAGTTTAATAGTTGGTTGTCGAGACTGGGAGAGAGGGGGAAGGGTGGAATCAATGTTTAACAAGTACTGAATTTCTGTTTTTGTGATGGAAAATTTGGCAATGGATATTGGTGATGGTAGAACAACAGGATGGATGTGAGTGGTATCACTGCACTGTGCACATGAAAAATGTTGAATTGGAGAATGTTGTATCTATATGTTTACCAAAACAGCAGTTAAGAAAAAACAATAACAACCTAGACTGCACAGGCTACTGAAAAATTACAATTCTTAGACTCAAAGTACTTGCTCCCTAGACCTAAAGAAAGATTTTGTTTAAAAAAAAAAAAAAGATACTTTTAACTTTTGTCCATTTAGCATTTTCTCTTTTCTTAGTTCTGTGGGGCTAGTAATACATGAAGTGCATTTGTGTATTAGAGAATCCATTCTTTCCACTTGGGACCTTTCTTTATAGCTCTTTTGTGGACAGTGAGAATGAGGAAGGAACACACAACCTTTTCATAACAGTGATGGATGTTCAGTACTATTCTCAGATGTAAGCAGACTGATTTGGTCAGAGGTAGGCAAACTCACCCAAGCTGCAGCTGCTGACAAATGACTGACGCATCAGAATCATCCCAGTGGCTGCTGCAGATTGTGCCCCAAGTACCATTTGCAAATACTTCCACTGTGCCTTCAAATTCACTTTTGCCATCCCGAAGTCGTATTGTTCCTAAAGTGAAAAAGAACCCCCAAATTCCTTAATGACAAATAACCACTTGAACATACTGAGCCAATTCGCAGAGAACGTGATTTTTACACTAAAGTGGAGGCAAGAGATGTAGTTCAATCTCCACTGTTCACAACAGGTGCTTCTTTCTTTAAATTAGGATTTAACAAGCCTTTTTTTTTTTTTGTAATTAATTAATATCCTAATATCATTGAGAATTCGCAAAGCAGTTATAAAAAAAAAAAAGAAAGAAACCAAACCCATTGCTGTCAAGTCAATTCCGACTCATAATGACTCTATAGGAGAACAGAACTGCCCAATAGGTTTGCAAGGCTGTAATCTTCATGGAAGCAGATTGCCACATCTTTTTCCCACAGAGCAGCTGGTGAATTTGAACTACATGACCTTTTGGTTAGCAGCCAAGAGCTTCACCCCTGTACCACCAAGTTTCCTTAATGTAGCTATATATACACATATATATTTTTTAATCTACTCCAATTGTTATTTCTAAAAGGGAAAAAGTAAAAGAATATAGTTAATGCCTAATGTTGCATCCCAAATATTAGATTAATCATATATGAATTTATCTATTATTATCATTTATCTATTATCATTTATCTATTACCTTCTCTCTTCACATGAGACAAAAGGCAAGAAACACAGGACTAAAATCAAATACTCTGCTGATAAAAGAGCTGTAATTTACTGTTACAGCTTCCTTCTATTTGATTTGCTCATCCACTATTGAAGAGCAAAGTGCTTTCACCTCTTTTAACCTTAAGCAGTAGTCAAGAAAATTCTAAAGATTATGTCTCTAATTTTAAAAAGGTATTAATTAATTTTTTAAAAACTGCCTAATGTTAGTCTTTTGAAATTGCCACTCAGTAGAGCAGTTTAGTATATTAAATGTCCTTTAGAAATTCACTTCTCCTTACATACCACCCTCACTGAGCTGCCCAAAAGTCCACCACTTGAGGCACGTTGTTTTTTCCAGTTTTTAAAAGAGCCAAAATTTAAATTCAAACACTTATGGAAAAGATAACATTTTAAGTTTTATCCCTTAAACATAGATCAAAGCCCTACATTCCTCTCATTGGGGCTGGTTTGCAGAACAGGTATCTGGGGACATTATCTTGGACACTTAAGTAGAGACAGAATCACACTCAGACAACTTAAGAATTTCACAAATTCTGTCAAAAGATAGAATAGATAGAATATCTATTTTCATAGATAAAGAAATAAAGCTATACAAAAAAAATTCCAGAGCATTGTACATATTTTTAAATTATTATGCATAGCTTTAAAATAATATTTCAAAAATATTATATTCACAATAATACATTCATTCCATTTGCACTGGCCTAGTCATAGGAGTTTGGTAGCATAGTGCCTAAGGCACTTGACTGCTAACCAGAAGGCTGGAGGTTCAAACCCCCCAGCCACTCTGCAGAAGGAAGTTGGGCAATCTACTTCCATAGTGATATTGCTTCAGAAACCCAAGGAGGGGTCGCTATGAGTTGAGTCCAACTCGACGGCACATAACAACAACAACAACCATCTACCATAATTATTTTCCATGTCACCAGCCTTAAAAAATTTGAACATTTAAGGAAAATAAATCCAACTTTTCCTACAAAGTCTCATTTAATTCGAACAAAAAGCAATAGTAAATGGAGACAAATATTTGTTACCAACTCCTGATTAACCAAGAGAGGAACACAGACACGGATCATTCAAATGGTTCATACACTTCGTTTTTGTTGTTAGTTACCATCAAGTCGATTCCAACTCATAGCAACCCCATATATTCAGAGTAGAATTGTTCCATGATGTTTTCAAGGATATGACCTTTTGGAAACAGATCACCAGGTCTATCTTTCGAGGTGCTTTTTGATGGATTCAAACTAACCGGCCTTTCAGCTAGTGGTTGAGCATGCTTAACCGTTTGCACCACCCAACAAATCCTTCCCACATTTTAAACCTCTTTATGCAGTCTAGGAGTCCCTGGGTGGTATGAATGGTCAATCTAGTTGGCTGCTAACCAAAAGCCTGATGTTTTAAGACACCCCCCCCCAGAGGTGTCTCAGAAGTAAGGCTTAGCAATCTATTTTGGAAAAATCAGCCATTAAAAATTCTACGGAGCACAGTTCTACTCTCACACAACTGGGGTTGCCATGAGTCAAAATCAATTTGACTTCGTTTTTAATTCAGTCTAAGCAAGAGGAAAGCCCTGTCTAGTTCAGTGAAAAGTATGCACTACAGAACATTTTTAAAGGAAAATGTCTAAAGACTTCAATTGTACTTTAATAATTTTTTAATCACAAAGTCTCTTCTACTGAGACCTCTTTACTATGATGCATATCACAACTGCCAGCAGCTTATTTCAAATCAAATAATTAATTTGTTCACCTCAAACAAAATATTACTTGAAATATGTAAGTGAATCTATTACGTTTTTAATTAATTATCCACCCCAATCACTCATGTCAAAAAGGTTGAAAGATGAATAGATAAACTAAATGCAGTATATCTATATAATGGAATACTACTCAATAATGTCCTGATGCATGCTATAACATGGATAAATCTTGAAAGTATTATGCTGAATGAAATAAGTCAATTTCAAAAGGACAAGTACTGTATGATCACGCTTACTTAAATTAACAAGAATACATTTACCTAAATGTATAGGCTTAAGTTTTATTAATTATTACCAGGGGTGAAAGGGAGAGGGGGAATGGGGAGCCACTGTTTAGGAAGCAGGGATTTTCTGTTTATGGTGATGGGAAATTTAGCAATGATTATGGGGGAGGGTTGCACAGGGGAATGCCCAATGTAACTGCGATCACAAAATTGTATACCTGAAAAATGTTGAATTTTCAAATGTTCTGTTTATATATTTCTACAGCAATTACAAAAAAGAAATGCAAAAATGTATATAATCAGAGATACGGAGATTCAAAAAAATTAGAATAAAAATAGAACATATGAGAGAAAAAATGGGTTTCAAAGATGAATAGCTTAACAAAATATTGTATATCCATATGAAGGAATATTACTGCATCATAAAGATAAATTAAGTCCTGATGCTTGCTACAATATAGATAGACTATAAAACATTATGCTGAGTGAAATAAGTCAGACACAAAAGGGCAAATATTGTATGATTCTGCATATATGAAACATCTAGAAAATGCAAATGCATAAAGACAAAAGTTTATTAGTGATTACTAAGGCCCAACGAATGAACAAACAAGTGCTTGTTTGTCAGGTCCAAGTCACAGAGACCCCTCCTTGGGTTTCCAAGGCGGTATCACTATGGAGGTAGACTGCCCAACCTTCCTTCTGGGAAGTAGTTGGTGGGTTTGAACCACCAGCCTTCTGGTTAGCAGTCAAACGCCTTAGGCCCTATGCCACCACTGCTCCCACTAGAGCCCAGGGGAGGGGAAAATGGGGAATAACTGCTTAAGTGGTGCTGAGTTTCTATTTAGGGTAATGAAAAGCATTTGCAAACATTGCACAGCATGGTGAATATATTTAAAGTCAATGAATTGTATGCTTAAAAATGGTTACAATGAGAAATATTTTGTTATATATATTTAACCACAATATTTAGGGGAAAAAAACTATTGAAAACAAACTGAAGCTCTACTTAAATCCCTACTATACCATCAAGTCCATTCCCACTCACAGTAATCCCATAGCACAGAGTAGAACAGCCCCACAGGGTTTCCAAGGCTATAAGTCTTTAGGGAAGCAGACTGCATCATCTTTCTTCTTCAGAATGACAGGTGGGTTCAAACTGTAGACCTTTTGGTTAGCAGCCGAATGCGCCAAACAGTAAACTCTACTTATATATCGTAAAAAATGTATGTATTTTCACAATAAAGTATTGCCTAAATCATCAAGAAGAAATCAATGCATGCATATTATTTAAATGATTCAATCACTTAAATACAAGAAGGAGAAGACACTGTAGGAAATGTGATTAAAGCAAGAAAGAGTTTCCAGGTCAATTATCAGCTTCACCATCATTCACAGACACTCCAAATATGCTATGAAAGCATGGATTCATTTACCTGTATCTACTATATGGCAAGAAATTTAGACTGCTCATCAAATTTTCCTTTACCAAAGAACACAAATATTTGCAATTCTGAAAACTCAATTTGCATGTCGATGGCTAATAACTTTCCTAACAGCACCCCAGCACAAAGTTCATAATTCCCTAAAAACCATTAAAAACTTCTAAAGTATTGTGAAGAATTAATTTATCATGGTCTCAGGCTGAAAGTTTATTAATATATTATAATTATATGAAGTACACAATTCTAATAATTATTTTAAAGACATTTTTTCTTAATATCACCATTATCAATGTGTTTCTTAAGTATTAGAAGTTTAAGCACATAGTTTATGCTATTACACATTTAAGTTAGGTAGAAGTTTTTGTTTGGTTCTTATTTTAGGAATTTATGGACCAAATCTACTACTTGTTTGTCAGTTTGTTGTACTGTGATGGCTTGCAAATTGCTGCGATGCTGGAAGCTGTGTCACTGGTATTTCAAATACCAGCAAGGTCACCCATGGTGGACAGGTTTCAGCAGAGCTTCCAGACTAAGACAAACTGGGAAGATGGACCAGCCATCCACTTCTGAAAGTACTGGCCACAGATAATCTTATAGCAGTGAAACACTGTCTGATATGGCACCAGAAGATGAACCCCACAGGATGGAAAGCAATCAAAATACCACTGACAAAGAGCTGCCACTCAAAGTAGAGTCAACTTTAATGGCGTGGATGGAATAACGCTTTCTAGACCTTCATTTGCTGACAAGTCACAAGCCAAAATGGAAAGAAACAGCTGCAAACATTCATTAATAATTAGAACATAGAATATATGAAGTATGAATCTAGGAAAACTGGAAGTTGTTTAAAATGAAATGAAACTCATTAAGATCAATATCCTAGGCATTAGTGATGTGAAATGGACTTGTACTGGC